AAAAGTAAATCATTTGTCATAAATGCTCTCTTTCTAATAACTCCTGGAAAAAATATAAAGTTTGAAAGCCTTGCTGGAATTTTCATGTTGTAAAATAACCCTCCCCTCAAAAAAACATCATAACCGTCAATTTCTCTGATTATACAGAGTTCCTGCATGGCTCTATTTTTAAACATCTGTAATTCTGCAGACTTTGACCATTTTTAACTGTGTAGCACATTTTATTATTTAATGCCTTCCTATAATTAAAAAAAATAACCCATACACATGTAAAAATAGATACCATTTTGCTTTCATCCTTTTTTTTTTTTTTTTTGGGGGGGGGGGAAGAGCTTCCTCCAGCCCACCGTGAAATCTCCAAGCTCCTTGAGGAACAACTGCTTATGCAGAGGAGAAGATGGCCCTTCCTCCAGCCCACCGTGAAACCTCCAGGCTCCTTGAGGAACAACTGCTTATGCAGAGGAGAAGATGGCCCTTCCCTGGGGCTGGGGATGAAGTAGCAGACTCCTCGCAAACCCCCCCCATCCTCCCTGGCTCTGCTTATGGTGGGTTCTCCTGAGGTTGCTCAGCCACCTCCACAACTCCCTGGGGATGCTCCTGTCTGAGCCAAGAGGCAGGACAGGGTCCCCTCTGCATCAGCTCTACCTTCTCTCATCTCTGCCCCACAGCTGCTTCTCCTAAAAGTCCTTTCTCCTCCCCAGGGAGGGACACGGAGCAGGAGAAGGACCTGCCCAGGGGTCAGGTCTTCAAAGCACAAAGGGTTCAAGGGTTCCAAGCATGGCCCACCTCCTCCACCAACAGCCGCGCGTAGGACTTGACGGGCACCTCGATGAGGTTGGGTCCGTAGATCTTCCTTCTGGAGAAGGGGAGAGAAAAAGGAAAGGGGGGAAGCAAACACACACTAGGGAAAAATCTGCATTTCCAACCCGAGGGACCCTCATGCTGCCAAGATCTCCACAGGAGGTCGGCTACATGGAGAAGCCAAGCCAGGGCAATCCAGCACAGACAGGAATCTTCTATTTTGAGGTCTGGGTGTTAAGAAAAACCCAGACTCCAGGATTTTCTGGCCCCTGGAAAAGCCTGATCTATGCTCCCCGGGCATCCCATGAATCTGGAAGGTCCCTACCTGGTGTTGTGGTCTTGCTGGTGGAGCCCAGCCTGGGCGAGGTGGAGATCTGCGCAGGTCCAGCCTTCATCCAAGACGCTGGCGAGCCCGAGGGGCGGGGGGGGAAAGAAAAAGAGAGGAACGGAGTCCAAATCAGCAGGAGCCTGGCCCGGCAGAAGAAATAACCACGGCCAAGTCCTTGGTGACACACACACAAAAAAAACCCCACCACCCCCCTCTTTGGGAAAGGGAGAGCATCTTGTTCCTCGGCATCCACCGCAGCTCGCGGGCGCCAAGGAGCAGGGACAAAAGGGACACGGGGCAGTGGGGACCCGTCCAGCAGAGGGGCAGATGCCAAACCAGTTCCCACTGCCCACAAAGACGGACAACATCAACAACTCTGGAGGACAGGGGGGGAAGGAGAACAGCTTTCCCCGACCTGACGCCCTGGAGATGGTCTCCAAAGGCTTTGTAGGGCGGGGAAAAAGCTCCAGCCGTGGTTATGTGACATCCAGATGGGTCGGGATCACTTTGGGGGGGGTTGAGGGGTGTAAGGAGAGCAGTGGAGGGCTGCAGAGAGGTTCTCCGTGGTGGTGGTGGGGCTGGGGGGTCAGGAATACCTGACTTTGCAGTAGGCCTGCCGCCGCTCGATCCAGACGTAGCGCATGCCCTCGAAGAGGTAGTACCTCAAGATGTTCTTCTGAGGGGAGCAGGGTGGAAAAAAAGAAAGAAGGAGGTGTCAGTGGGAGAGGAAGGCAGGTGACACCCAGGGAGAGGATTTTGCGGGGATGGAGGTGGGAAGGGTCGTTGGTGTCACCTCTTCCTTCTCGTGGAGGCGGATGGTGTCCCGGTTCTCCTCCTCATCCGCCACGCCGATGGCGATGCTGCTCCTCCGGTCCTCCAGCCGGGCCCCGGGGTGGTGCTCCAGGCTGCTCGGGGTGGGAAACCAAGGGTTGGTCCCTCCCCATCCACAAACTCCCCCTCTCCCTCGAAACCAAAAGCCCATGGGAGCCCCAGCATCGCGGTGGGGACAGAAACCCCCGGCGTCGTGGTGGGAATGGAAGCCCCAGCATCACCTCAAGGATGGGACCTGGGCATCACAGTGGTGGGACAGGAGCCCTGGCATCATGGTGGGAGGAGAGGAGCCCTGGCATCACTGCAGGGATGTGAGCCCCAGCATCACGGTGGGGTGATGGGAGCCCTGGCTTCGTGGTGGGGGGACGGGAGCCCCAGTGAGGGCATGGGAGCATCATGGTGGGGACATGAGCCCTGGCATCCCCATGGGGACATGAGCTCTGGCATCACAGCAGGGACAGGAGCCCTGGCATTGTGGTGGGGGGACGGGAGGTCCTGCATCACCATGGGGATGTGAGCCCCGGCATCACGGTGGGGGGACAGGAACCCTGGCTTTGTGGTGGGGGTATAAACCCTGGCATCGTGGCAGGAGGACAGGAGCTCCAGCATCACAGTAAGGGGACAAGAGCCCCGGCATCGTGGTGGGGGGACAGGAACCCTGGATTTGTGGTAGGGACAAGAACCCTGGCATCTCAGTGGTGAGACAGGACCCTGGCATCATGGTGGGAGGACGGCAGCCCTGGCATCACCGCAGGGATGTGAGCCCCAGCATCATGGCAGGGTGATGGGAGCCCTGGCTTCGTGGTGGAGGGACAGGAACCCTGGTTTTGTGGTGGGGACATGAACCCTGGGATCGGGGTGGTGGGACAGGTGGGCCCTGGCATCACCATGGTGGGGTCAGGAGCCCAACTCACCTCCCCTCGCCCAGCGCCTCCGTCCGCACGCGGGTGGTGAAGCACTGGCCAAATCGGTCCTGCAAGACAAGGACGGGGCTGAGCAGAGGGAAATGGGGAGTGTGTGTCCCCCCCCTCAGCCTCTCTCCTTCAAATGGGGACAGTGACACAGGCAGGGGGTCCCCGGCCACTCATCCCAGATGATGGCTGGTTTCTAGGGACAATAAAGACTGACACAAAGCCAGGCTGGCTGCTACGGAAGGGAAAGGGCAAAATTACTCCAGGAATAATAATTATTTTTAAACTGAAAAGAGGGAAGATCGAGATGGGATCTGGGGAAGAACTTGTTTGGTGTGAGGGTGGTGAGAGCCTGGCCCAGGTTGCCCAGAGAAGCTGTGGCTGCCCCATCCCTGGAGGGGTTGAACCAGGTTGAAGGGGGCTTGGAGGGACCTGGTGTGGTGGGAGATGCCCCTCCTGGGGGACAGGGACAAGATGATCTTGAAGGTCCCTTCCCACCCAAACCATCCCATCATCCTCTGAATAATCTGGCCTTGGGGCAGCGCGTTGCTTGGTGAAAGGAGATGTCAAACATGGATCCAATGAGGGGAGGGTGACAAACACCAAGGAACATGCCCCTGGGGGAGCCCGACCCCAACCAGAACTCAACCCCAGACCTTCCCCCACCCTCAGGACACCCCTTGGGGACTTACTCTGATGATGACCCAGTCGGCCTGGCCCAGGGCGCAGGGTTGGCACTTGGCCTGCACCTCCAGGCTGGGCTTCCAGTGGAAGAGGAGGAGAAGCAGCCCCGCCGTCAGCACGGAGCACGCGTGGCACAGGGCCACCCGCCACGTCTTGGTCTGGTAGCCCGTCACCTCCTGGAAGAAAGGAGATCACCTTTCCGGGGATGCTCATTCATCAAATCAACCAAAAATTAAGATTCCCAACCGCCCTAAAACCCTCGACTGAGAAAAGCCCAACACTTCCTGGTGGGATTTAACACCAGGCAGGTGGTGGAGTAACTTCAGGGCTGGAAAGCCACCGGTTTGGGCTGGTGTGGTAGAAAATATGTGGATTTTTGTGCCAGCCCTTCCCAAAAGTCCCTTCCACCCCGTGGTGAAGCCCTGGGAACGTACCATGCGGGATTTATCGGCGTCCGGCTGCAGCGTCCCATACCCCGGCCGCTGGCCCCCCAGCAGCCGGCTGCTGTCTGCAAAGTCCAAAAAAAAGGGGGAAAAACACAGTAAGGAGAGCTGATCCGAGGGTGTTTTTTAGGAGACGGGCTCCCCACGGCATCCCTGGCTCCATCCCAGGAGGTGGCTGCTGGACTCGGTGTCCCCTCTGCCACCCACCCCGGCTGCCGGAGGAGCTGCTTGGGGCCACCTCGGTGGTGCCAGGGTTTTTGGGGGGGTGAAAAGGAGGGGGGGGGGATGCTGTGGGTGCCCTGGTCACCTTCTGGTGGCACGTGACGGTGACGGGAAGGACGCCAAAGGAGCCCGGGGAGAGAAAAACTGGCAGAAAACCAGGGGGAAGGGAAGGGGGGGGCTGGGGCAGAGCCAGGGCGAGCGCAGGGAGAGCTTTCCCAACCACTTGTTTTTCCCCCCAAAACAATGAGGATGTAGCCATAAAATTTGCCTTTTTTTTTTTTTACCCCCCTCCCCAAGTTCTAATGATGCTCAGCACCTCCTGTTCCCTGCTGCGCCCCAGTACCCAAACTGGGAGACTGTGGGGTGGTCAGAGGCATCACCCCAGGTGGGATTTTAATCATCACCTTCTGTCCCCCCCCCCAAAACCCACCCAAAACCCACCCAGTCCCATCCTCCGGGATGTTCAAGCAGGAGCTGGGGAGGTAACACGTGGCACAAACACAAACCCCAAGAGCCAATTCCCACCCCAGCAGATTAATTTCCTGGGCAGGTTTTCCAGGAGGGTGCTCAGACCAGTTTAACCATTTACACCCCGGCTGGGTCCCTGCCTCTGCCCTCTCTCCCACCCCCAAAAGCTCCTCTGCAGGTGACAAAAGCAATTAATCAAACCCCCTGGGTTTTGATGACCACCAAGGTTGGGGGGGGGGCAACCTGGTGCTGCTGGTGCTGCTCCAAGGGGTTTTTTTGGGGGTTGAGGGGGTTGAGGAATGGGGGGAATGAGCCCCAAGGATGGTTTCTTAAAATAAAACCCCAAAAGCTTGTCTGCAGGTGACAAAAGTGATTAATTAAAACCACCCCCTGGGTTTTAATGATCACCAGGGCTGGGGGGGCTCCATCTCACCATGCAACCCAGTGGGTCACCAGTTCCCAAAACCCAGCTGATGCTGCTCCAAGGGGTTTTCTGGGGGGTTGAGGAAGGGGGGGGATGAGCCCAAAGCATGGTTTCTTAAAATAAGAGCCCCAAAACTCCTCTGCAGGTGACAAAAGCAATTAATCAGAACCACCCCCTGGGTTTTGATGACCACCAGGGCTGGGGGGGGACAACCCAGTGGGTCACCAGTTCCCAAAACCCAACTGGAGCCACCCCAGGGGGTTTCCCCCCTCCCCAAGTTCTAATGATGCTCAGCACCTCCTGTTCCCTGCTGCGCCCCAGTACCCAAACTGGGAGACTGTGGGGTGGTCAGAGGCATCACCCCAGGTGGGATTTTAATCATCACCTTCTGTCCCCCCCCCCAAAACCCACCCAAAACCCACCCAGACCCATCCTCCGGGGGGTTCAAGCAGGAGCCGGGGAGGTAACACGTGGCACAAACACAAACCCCAAGAGCCAATTCCCACCCCAGCAGATTAATTTCCTGGGCAGGTTTTCCAGGAGGGTGCTCAGACCAGTTTAACCATTTACACCCCGGCTGGGTCCCTGCCTCTGCCCTCTCTCCCACCCCCAAAAGCTCCTCTGCAGGTGACAAAAGCAATTAATCAAACCCCCTGGGTTTTGATGACCACCAAGGTTGGGGGGGGGGCAACCTGGTGCTGCTGGTGCTGCTCCAAGGGGTTTTTTTGGGGGTTGAGGGGGTTGAGGAATGGGGGGAATGAGCCCCAAGGATGGTTTCTTAAAATAAAACCCCAAAAGCTTGTCTGCAGGTGACAAAAGTGATTAATTAAAACCACCCCCTGGGTTTTAATGATCACCAGGGCTGGGGGGGCTCCATCTCACCATGCAACCCAGTGGGTCACCAGTTCCCAAAACCCAGCTGATGCTGCTCCAAGGGGTTTTCTGGGGGGTTGAGGAAGGGGGGGGATGAGCCCAAAGCATGGTTTCTTAAAATAAGAGCCCCAAAACTCCTCTGCAGGTGACAAAAGCAATTAATCAGAACCACCCCCTGGGTTTTGATGACCACCAGGGCTGGGGGGGGACAACCCAGTGGGTCACCAGTTCCCAAAACCCAACTGGAGCCACTCCAAGGGGTTTTCTGGGGGGTTGAGGAAGGGGGGGATGAGCCCAAAGGATGGTTTCTTAAAATAAAAACCCAAAATCTTGTCTGCAGGTGACAGAAATGATTAATCAAAACCACCCCCTGGGTTTTGATGACCACCAGGGCTGGGGGGGCTCCATCTCACCGTGCGACCCAGTGGGTCACCAGTTCCCAAAACCCAGCTGGTGCCAATCTAGGGTTTTTTTTGGGGTTGAGGAAGGGGAGAATGAGCCCCAAGGATGGTTTCTTAAAATAAAAGCCCAAAAGCTCCTCTGCAGGTGACAAAAGTGATTAATTAAAGCCACCCCCTGAGTTTTGATGATGACCAGGGTTGGGGAGGGCAACCCAGTGGGTCACCAGTTCCCAAGAGGCAGCTGGTGCCGCTCCGAGGGGTTTTTTTGGGGGGTTAAGGAATGGGGGGATGAGCCCAAAGGATGGTTTCTTAACATAAAAGCCCCAAAACTCGTCTGCAGGTGACAGAAATGATTAATTAAAACCACCCCCTGAGTTTTGATGATGACCAGGGCTGGGGGGGCTCCATCTCACTGTGTGATCCAGTGGGTCACCAGTTCCCAAAACCCACCTGGTGCCAATCTAGGGGTTTTTTGGGGGGGTTGAGGAAGGGGAGAATGAGCCCCAAGGATGGTTTATTAACATAAAAGCCCAAAAGCTCATCTGCAGGTGACAGAAGCGATTAATTAAAGCCACCCCCTGGGTTGTGATGACCACCAGGGCTGGGGGGGTGCAACCCAGTCGGTCACCAGTTCCCAAGAAGCAGTTGGTGCCGATCCAGGATTTTTTGGGGGGGTTGAGGAAGGGAGGGATGAGCCCAAAGGATGGTTTCTTAACATAAAATCCCAAAATCTTGTCTGCAGGTGACAGAAATGATTAATCAAAACCACCCCCTGGGTTTTGATGACCACCAGGGCTGGGGGGGCTCCATCTCACCGTGCGACCCAGTGGGTCTCCAGTTCCCAAAACCCACCTGGTGCCAATTTAGGGGTTTTTTTGGGGTTGAGGAAGGGGAGAATGAGCCCCAAGGATGGTTTCTTAAAATAAAAGCCCAAAAGCTCCTCTGCAGGTGACATAAATGATTAATTAAAGCCACCCCCTGGGTTTTGATGACCACCAGGGCTGGGGGGGTGCAACCCAGTCGGTCACCAGTTCCCAAGAAGCAGTTGGTGCCGATCCAGGATTTTTTGGGGGGGTTGAGGAAGGGAGGGATGAGCCCAAAGGATGGTTTCTTAACATAAAATCCCAAAATCTTGTCTGCAGGTGACAGAAATGATTAATCAAAACCACCCCCTGGGTTTTGATGATCACCAGGGCTGAGGGGGGCAACCCAGTGGGTCACCAGTTCCCAAAACCCAACTGG